CCCGCCCCCGGCGCTGCCATCCTCCCCAGCCCCACGGGGGCGTCATGAATTAGTATACAGGCACTGGGCTGCGGCTCGATACCAACCGAGCCCTAGGTCAGCACCAGGCAGCAGAAGGGACGAAATGTCAGATGCCATAGAGCGGCAGAACGAAGCAAAACGGGAGTACATTGAAACCACGTTATTTCCAAGCACTGCGCCACTTGTTATCCAAAATAATAAAAAACGCTATGAGGTCCGTCTAACTTGGGGAGGTCACTGACATGGCGCGCAGCGTGCCTGGACCTGGCCGGCTGGACCGCCTGCTGAAGAGTGACGCGGCAGCATTCCTCGTGGGCCGCCGCCCCGCCCCGCCCCGCGAGGAAGAGGCTCCTTCCACAATTAAAAATCGATGACGATTTGCGATGCGCGTGACTGACTTGAGCCCAGCGCCGGCAGGCAGGCAGGACCGGCAGGAAGAGGAGGAAGCCCAAAGGGGTTGTCACCCGGCGGCGCCACGCCGTGGCACTGCGCGACTGTGCAGGTGCGCGCAGCTGCAGCTGCGTGCGGCCGCGACACACGCGGCGGGGAATTTAAATCAGCAGCGGGGAAATGGAGAATGCCCGCCGCGCTGAGAGGGGTCCCTGGCCCCTGCTGGCAGCTGAATGGTGACAGTGAAACGCATCCCGACATGCATAAGCCGCGGCGGCGGCGGTGCCAGAGAGCCGTGCGCGGAGAGCGGCGAGGCGGTCCTTCCCAAAATACCTGAGCGATGTGCATTCCCTCGCTGCCCCGCGGCACGCGACACACGCCCACGCGCGCGGGGGCGGGGGGAAGAATCATCGACCCAAAACCCCTCCGAGCCGCAGCCGACTGCAGCGCGGCAACGCAAGGCTTGTTTACACCAGGCGAGGGAAGGCCGGCCCGGCCGGGGCCCACGGCACAGCGGCGCGCTTGCAGCAGCGACATGGGGGTGTGATAATTGTGCCATGCGAAGTGAGCATCACCGTCACCGCCGCCAAGGCTGGGGCTAGAGGGGGAGGGGGGGAAGGCAGAGGAGAAAAGAGAAAAACCCCTCCGTGTAGGCGAGAGAAAACGTTGCCCGCCTTACAGGCTTTGGATCTTCCTAACTAAACCAATTTTGGTGAACAGACTTGAGCGCACACAAGAGTTGTCAAGTTCACGGGCAATTTCAACATAGTAGGCAACTAATTCATTTGGGGACAAGATTGCTTAAAGATTGACGGCATAGAATAATACAAAGGCGTCAATGTCGGAAACATACATACAATTTTCCTGTATATTAACCACCATGCAATCCACCGACCGTACTGCTTCGTGTATCAATATTCATGAATGAGCTGAATCCTTTCAATAAAGGAGCTGCTAGCAATCCAGTCGCACATAACCAAAGAAACGAGAAGGTGGAAATATTTCCACACTAGCATTGGATTTGTTCAAATGTTACACATTAATTTACTGGTTGATGAATACAAATCAATTAAAGGCAAAGAGACTGTGTCATAATTTTTAAAAATGACACCAATTATCTCAAATTAATTTGTGCTTGAATCTGTCAGATGGGACATGACATACATAAATGGACTACTGTCATAATCTGTGCGTACAGATCCGAAATGCACTGACCATCAGTTCAACCAGAACAAGAACCACTTTAGAATCGTCTGAAGACATTGCTGTTCAGCCGTTGGTAGGTGTTGTCAAATGTCACATTCAGGGCCCATATCAATGAATGTCAGACAGTGAGATAAGGCAGTGTAGAGAGGTTAACAGGCAACAGAACAAGGTGCCAGTTACAAAAGTTATCACATGACCAATTGTTCTCATGATCTCCCCAACTCGGAAAGAAAATAATATTTGTTTGAAGGAATAATGATTGAACCACCGATGCCATTCAATCAATGACATATAATATGAAAAGGGACCAGGGCCCTGCCTGAAGTGAAGTGTCTAGAGACGTGTGGCGGGTTCTTGGGACTTCAAATCCAAGGCAGGTCCAGAAAAAATTACTGAGTTACAATGTCATAAAATAAACAACTATATGGAACATTGACTAAACAATACAGCTAAATTATGTTCCATAATATACGTCGTCGACGTACAGCCATTTTGGTTTCCTCCCCATTCGACTGTCTAGAAAAGACTGTCAAAGGGCCTCTTATGTCAATGCAACATTTAACCACCAATATTTACAAAGCGTAGAAAGAGTACTCTTTACGAGACAGTCATACACTTACCGAAACAATAGAAATAATCCAAAAATGTACACGAAATTACACACACCCGCGGACACTACTTTCGACAGACGTTCGTTGGAGCAAACTGAATCAACTGAAGCGTTGCAGAGTACTGGGTACGTTCCTCATCTCCTCTCGGGTGCTGTCGGGGGAAAATCGACCGATGCGTTTTTAATGGCAAGAAATACAGTTCATGTTGGTCACTACTCATTCCAAATTACCTTCTGGGTCCAAAATTTACAACTGTTCTGAAAAACATACACACTCCATATACATACGCCTGGAAATGAACTTATCTTCTGCTCAGCCGGTGAGTTGCGGTGAGTTGCGGCTCCGTTGTGATAGGGACTCTAGATGGTGCCCGGTTTGTTTACTTTGGTTTATAGAAGGCAGACGATAGACGAAAACTGCTAAAGAAGAGTGAATAAAGCGAAACAAGGACGATAGTGCGAATCTGATGACGCATTTCTTCTTATTTCTGTGGTTTTCGTCGGTTTGGCATAATGTCAGGTATGACTGAAAATGAAAGAGCCTTCATTCGGGAATTTCTGAAGTTAATGAGTGACGATGCTGTTCGTGCCCTCGCATCCACTGTCACTCGGAAGATGGTGAAAGCAGAAACGAGAAGAGGTACTTTGTTTTGGTTAAGACCCTTTGCTTATTTATTAAGCAGCTGCATTTTAGATTATTTTTCTGGGATTAAACTTGAACGTTTAAATAAAAATTATTATGTACTTTTACAGCATGTGTGGATGCAATTGTACTACATTCAACCTCTCTCGATGAATTCCTTAAGCGTCAAAAAGTTACGAAAGAAAACCTTTTCAAATATCTTAATCAAAGAAAAGTATCTGTACCTAACACAGACAAGGCTGCATTAGAGCAGCAAATCAAAGAACTTATAACTGGTGGGAACCTTGCCCTATCAAGCCCATTACAAAGCCCTGTCAGACAATCTTTAGTTCCTACCTCTCCTTGGGCTGTCGGTGATCACAATAGTAGTTTAGGATCACCGATGCCTCTAACAAGCAATCAGCCATCTGGTGCTCACCTTCCATTTGCAGACCTCCATCTCCCCAGTGCTGCTCAGGTTCGCTTTACATTATATAATACTTGTTTACCTGTTAAATTTTTGCAACAATTAATACTAATTGTTTTCTATTGGTTGCAGTTGTACTTAGCTGCAACATCTGCTTCAAGAGTTACCATTGAAGAAAGAGTTACTACAACCACTTACTCCCATATGAGTGGAGCTGCTCTTTTTGCCAGTATGCCAGATCCAGACCCTCGAGACTCTGCTATTATTACCGAGTTTGCTAAGTGGTTTTACACTCGAGTCAACCAGCCTGGAGGTCTTGTGCCTGAAGACTTCTGGCCTGATGCTAATATTAACATGATTGTAAAACGTAAAACTGATGCTGATTACAAAGCAGAACAGGGCGGATCAAATACAGTATGTTTTATACCTGTGTTTTCAAAATTGAAATTGATTTTTATTACTTTTTCACACTTTTTCTTATTTTCAGGCTAGACTTCTAAATCAGATCTTAGAAGAACATCAATTGTATCTAAATCCTAACACAAGTGCCCAGGGTATATGGGGTCGAGGCAATGTAGGGGGCCTACTTTTAGTCTTGGTCTGTGGTACTTTGCATCAACGTGTTCCAGTACAGCATCGCCCTGGCATTGAACTTGGGCAATGCTTGGGAATGTTTGAAAACTTATTCCTACTTGCCCAAGATCCATTTGCGGAAGACAATTGGAAAATAAAAACTTTAGAGGTCATTTTAAGAAGTAACCCCTTAATTCAACAACTACCAACAATAGCTGATTCTGAACTTGCAAAAACAATCAGACTATGAGGTAGTATGTTATATTTTCCTTCTCATGCATTATTACTAATTTATTGACATTATGTTTGTGTCAATCTACATTGTGTCTCCTTTCTAATATGAAATGGAATGCTTTCTTTTTGTGCTTTCTCTCTTGTCTTCTACAGCTTCTTTCAGTTCAACCTCCTCCATCACGTAAAATATTTTCAATGAAGCAAGTAAATTAAAAATAAATCAATGTATGTTATGAATGCTACAGTATGGAGTATTCCCATCCACCTCTTTTTTATGATTGATCATATCAAATGGCAATTTGATTGCTTATGACTTTGTATGATATTTCCCTCGGCATATCTGTGGTACTCAGTTTAAATTTGTCATAACTCGGAATAACTTTTTTACATTTGACAGATCTAGGTATGTTCTTATTGTAATTATTTTGGCATTAGTTTGTCCTCTTACAAAGATCTCAGACATCAGAAATATATGTACATGTGACTTAGGTTTTCCTTCTACTGTGCCTATGTTCATTTTTAAGAGTTTTACACCTACTTCCAAGCTACGCAACATATTTCTGAATATCCTCATGCTTGTGTGTGTATTGTAAGTGAATTCAAAATTCAATATGGTGTTTTAGCACAAATGAGTACTTCAAATGACCTGGCAGTAATTATATTGTGTTTCTGCTGACTTTTGTTGTAGGTGTAATCTATCTGAAATTGAAACACTTGCAATTTAAAACCCAACATCAGTTGTACATAATTTTTGGACAAATATGTTGTTTCTATAAATTTGTTAAAGTGTCAGTATTATGACTCTTCTGGAGAATGGTCATACAAGGTGCTTAAAGTGCTTTGTTCTGTTGTTTGGTGTGAAGGTGCTCCACATTTGTTGAATGATAGATTTGTGATATTAGTAGATTTTTATAAATGCATAGTTAGGTAGGTTTAAGCTTGGGAAGAGTAACAATTGTCATTTAGTCAGATTATTCTGGTAATTTGAATTTTATTGCTTTAGGGATTACAACTTATTTTATGAAATTGAATTGGTATAA